AAGAACTAAAGTTGCTTCTTGGATGAGACGTGGGACATTTTCATCGGGGCAAAAAAAAAAAAAACCCCAAGAAAGTCCAGCTGCCTTTTGAAAAACACCTTTGGCAAATGCTTGTGCACTTTTTAACATGTTGCTAACATGCTGCGTAGCTTGAGATAGGAACAGAAGACACGATTCTTTCCTTGTTTCCAAGGGTTGGAATAAAAACTAAATAAATCTTCGTCCTCTGCCGGCAACAGTTCCAGGCAGAATTTATATGCAATTGATAGCCCTCTCCTTCTCCTCCAGGAGTGATCCAGATGCCGGTTGCAATTAAGGAAAACTAGCCCTAAAAAACATAGAAGTAAGTTATTTCCACTTAGGCTAGGGTTCTGTGCGTGGTAAGGGGAAGAGAGGATGCCTTCTCTGGTGCTGGAACTAAATTCCCTTTCTACATCTTTGTGAGTGACTTTTGTCTTGCAACCAATCCAGAGAAGGACACTTGTCACTTTTCAACATCCTATGCAGGAGCCAATGTGGCTTTGGGTGATAATAGTACATTTTGGGTTTTGCTAACGCAACTAAATTTCCTCTTCCTTTTTACAAGGAAGGGAACGCCCCACAAATTTTACCTGCGCTTCGTTTTTGGCAATCGTCGTTTTCTTTTCAGATAATCTGCTGCTAAGCTTGGAGGGGGGGGGTATCATTTCCCCCCTCCATTACTGGTGCAATTTGGATAGTAATCCATACTTTGCTCTCCTGCTCGTTTGCAAAGGCAAAAACTGCTGGGTTTGGGGAATCTGTTCTTATTTCTTAATCCTTAAAGGATGCGAGGGGTATTAACCACGGGCCCACCCACCCATAACCCAGCGTGTTTCGCGAATCCGAGACTGTAAATACGATCTTGTAAAATTCACATTGGCGTATTTTTTTTTTAAAGGCATCTATGTTAAACGTGTTTTTTTGGGCAGATAACTATTTCTAAATCTGAGAGTCTATTTTTTTAAAAAAAGAAAGTTACTTGTTTTATTTAGGATAGTGGAATACTAAAAAAAAAAAAAAAGCATCCAGAAAAGATTTGTGTTCCTTTTGTTTTTAATTCAGCTATGGATGAGTAGAATTGAAGAGTTTAGCTGCTAAGCCCCAAGCGGGGGGGAAAGAGAGTTGGGGGATTTAAATGTATATTAACATTTTTTATGTGTTGCTTTGACATGCTTCTCCTTTGCTTGATAAGTTGGTTATTGCTGCTTCCCCCCCCCCCTTCTTATATCTCCCCTTCTGATTTTCCTCCATATTTCTAGAATAAATGTGATTGGAGGACTTGATTTTTTTTTTTGCAAAAAAGTAAACCTCCTCCATTCCACTACAAACTTTTGCCCGTTAAAGCATTGTCACTTATAATATTTAGGATTGATCCGTGAACTGCTATGTATCACAAAGGTGGGAGGTAGAATTCTGCTGTCCTTTATTGTGTACAGCATGGTTTATGTGACATCCCTGTTTCTTTGTTTTCTTCTTATAGAAGAGTCTGTTGTTCTTTTGTATAACATGTTTTAATAAATGTTATCGGTATTTTGCTAAGCGTGTTTGTTTGCCCAAAACGTGGGTGGGAGCGAGTTTGACTGTTGCTGATTTCTGAATAAATAGGAACCCGGTTTAGAATAGAATAGGATAACAGAGTTGGAAGGGACCTCGGATGTCTTCTAGTCCAACCCCCTGCTTGGGCAGGAAACCCTACACCACTTCAGACAAATGGTTAGCCATCATCTTAAAGGCTTCCAGTGTTGGAGCATTCACAACTTCTGGTTGTGTTACCCTGTTATAGTAGTAGCAATAGAAATAGCAGTTAGATTTATATACCGCTTCATAGGGCTTTCAGCCCTCTCTAAGCGGTTTACAGAGTCAGCATATTGCCCCCAACAACAATCCGGGTCCTCATTTTACCCACCTTGGAAGGATGGAAGGCTGAGTCAACCCTGAGCCGGTGAGATTTGAACAGCCGAACTGCAGAACTGCAGTCAGCTGAAGTAGCCTGCAGTGCTGCATTTAACCACTGCGCCACCTCGGCTCTTTTACCCTAAGAGAATGTGACATCCGTATAGTGTTGCTTCCCATTGAGAAATCAAATGTGGGAAGGAAACACTCTTCACCCTCACTCCAAAACCATCAAGAGGAACTCCAGGGGTGGTTAGTGACTTCCAAACGACAGTGTCAGCATTCCAAGTATCATGTAGAATTAAATCAGAGTCCAAGGCAAAACGATCCTTTCGGTTCCAATTTAATAAAGCAGACATTTTAGCACATCTGTGTTAATCCCAATACTGGAAATGACATCAGAATTCCACCCAGTTAAAAGTTCATGATCTTGTCCCCACACCCACAATCCATCACATGGTCCAATCTTCTTCTTCCACGCTGGCATCCACACCCAGCTGCTTCCGGTCAGGTGCAAAGGCGCGGAGACAAAAGATGACCTTGACTTCTAGTAAAGAATGAAAAACAATACATTCCACAATCCTACTCCTGTCTATTCCCCCCTCCCATCGACTATACTAATGAAACAGCATAATGAAATAAGAGAAAGTGTGGCAGGCCAAAATTCTAAAACGAATATAATTGCAGGCTTGACAGACAGGTGTGCAACTCAATGCCCCACCCCGCTTAGACGTGCGTTATACACATCCCACACTTGTGCAAAGGGCCAGTGCTTCGGTCCCTTCTAAAAGTCGGTGGGAATCGCCCGACAGGAAGGAGCTGAAGGCCACTTGGGGTTCAGTCCAGTCAATTTCACACTGACGGAAAGCTTTAGCAGGGTGCCACCTCTTAACGACCGGCGGTCATTGGCGCTCGGCTGAACCCGGGCCATCACAACAGACGTAATTGAATCCTTTTCAACAAGAGTATCCGAATTCAGCCATTTATTTTCAGAAGGGGTAACCAAATCTATCCCATCTCCGAGAGGCTTGGCCCTGCCTACAGCTGTCATAACTGACTTTGGCCAGAGCGAATGTTTGCTTTCCAAACAAAACAGCCACACTCGGGCTTAAATACTTTAGCCTCTCGACTGAATTCCCTTTAAATTCAATCCCCACGCAGGAAAAAAAAAAAAATCTCTTTCGATCCAAAAAGAAGGAACGTGTTTCTTTTCAGACACGGAAAATAGCACGCACCTGGTACCTGTGTCAAATTATTCTTGTGTTTCACAGGTACGCCCGGCTTCCATCAAACGTGCAAAAATTAACCGGCACTTGCAAACCGCTCCTTTCACAAACCTTGTTCACAAACCCTTAAATGGAGGCGGAACGGAGACCAAGATAGAAACAGAAGAACGAATGAATTAACTGCTTTGTGGCTGTTTTCCTGAAGCCCCTTCAACCATCGTCGACTTTAAAAGCATACCTTGTACAGGTAGTCTTCGGCGGGGTGGGGGGTGGTGATCCCATGACCCTGGGACACTTCAACCGTCATAAATAGAAGTCAGCCGCCAAGCGTTTGAATTTTCTTTTTCAAAAAGTTTTTTTTATTTTTTCATTTTCATAATACGTAATCACATGTATACTATTACATAGCCAACATCATATTGTATTATTAAATGTTTACATCGATTCATCTTAACATCAACTCCCAAAAACAATTATTGGCTCTTCTGCTCTCCATACACCATATTTGTACCTTAAACCATCACTTCCTTCTCCCTCTCTCCTCCCTACCTCCTTTCTTCCCTCTGTCATCCTTCTCTACTTCCCCTTCCTCTCTCCTTCTCCTCCCCTTTCCACTCCTCCTTTCTCTCCTCCTCTC